GAAGGAGTCGCGATCTCGTCCATTGAAGGAATTGGCAAGTCCAAAGTAGAGGATCCCGACAGTGACAAAGCAGTAGATGCAGAGTCATCGTCCGAAGAGGCAGATGACGAAATTATGGAAGCAGGCGGCTCTGAAGCTGAGCCTGACGAGGAACCGACATCAGACCCCTTTCCAGAGTTAATCAAAGACTTGACACGGTCCAGATAATCCGACCCCATCATACTTTTGAGTGTTTCTGGAGACAGGGTCTCTGATATCGACGTATCGGACGACGCGGGTGAAGGGGTCGAATCGTCGTCATTGTTCCAAAAGGTCCAATCGATGGCTTGTGTGCTGGTGGTTGCAATAGCAGCCAACAAGAATAATAGTCTTGACCGGATCATATCGAAATGGTCGCGAAAGCGTTTGATGAAGTTGCTCAAGCGCGTGTGAGTCCGAGGTTGCAAAATGCAGAATGATCCTATCGTACCTGTTGACCTCCCGGTTCCGGTCGAGGTCTCGTTCCCTCGTTGAGGAGTACGATTTGAGGAAGAATGGTGATGGGTATTATGCTGCAAGCATGTACACGAAGTGCCGTTACAGTGCTTTCATTTTTTGCATTTGTGCTAAATACATCAAAATTACGGCATGTATCTGTAAAAACGAGGGTGGTTTGCCAGCGTGCTTTCTCAAAGTTTGACTGGGTTCATTTTTTGGCTGACGTGTACCATATCAGCACTTTTTGTAGTTGACACTTCCCTTCACAATCGTAGGATTTGATGTTTTAGCTCATTTTCAGTCGCAAAATGGGTAACATCTCAAGCGATATCGCAATAGACGGTTGACGGCACTGCCATTGCAGCCGTACTTTCGTTTTCTTAGATCTTCCACGATATGCGATATGGATATCGTACTGATTGTATAGAGCTCGTACCCCACGAAATGAAAGCAACCTCTGCAAGTCCAATCATACTCGAATATATATGTTCAGATAGAAGCTGAGGGCTTACTACATGAATATATGTAGCGAATCGAAGCTCCATAATAGTATCATTTACTAAATGAGTAATAAGAGTCACTCATTCCAACTAGCCCATTTTATTTTGCTCTCTTTTTTTTTTACTGATCTCCTTTTGACTGATGAGATTTGCTAATCGCCACGTTGGTAATTCAACCCATCTTTGGCAACATTGTCGAGGCAGGAGGCCATGAGGAGGATACTTCCGCCGAAAATCTGTGCCCAGTAAACTCGCGACTCGCGCGAAGGGCTGGTGTTTGTCTACTCGAGTGGAGGAAGCATTTATCGAATAGGGTCTGGTTGTTCGTCTTGGTGGTCGGACTTGTGTCCTGTCTGAAGTCAATACATGTACTACAGCCCTCTAACCAAGACGGAGGTCTTGAACCGAATACATGAACTGCTTCAACACAGCATCGTGCGACGTACCAGCTCATCACGTACCACCCGCTTCCTAGGAACGCTGCTCGGCACAAACAGATATCGTTTGGGCGGTGCGAAGGTTTAAAATTCTTGTGGAGGTGTCCACGGCACGATACCAAAAGCAAAAATCTGTACGAGGTTGGTCCTCGCAAATGTGGCATTATCTACACGACTGGAGGAGGCCTGTTCAGTGGTACTGTTTATTGATTAACTCTTGGGGGGGATTGTGAATTTGGTGGTGGGGTATGAGTTTCAAAAATCAAGATATAATACATGTAGACCGGTATTATAATCTTCATTTTAACTGTATAGGGGCTGGAGCGAGCTCTGTTTAGTCTGAATTGGAATTTTGTGCTTGCTGCACTTATGTGGCCAAGCGCGTAACAGAGCATAACGCTAAATGTTTTTGTCCCCAGTGCAGCAGCTGAATTCATCGCCTCAAGCTAGCAGCATACAGGAATGCACAATAGTCAGTGGTGATGTTAAGCATACTATATACTACCTGTGTTAAACAATTTTAATGAACTATTTTAATTTGAATTTAAAAAAGAAATGTACCTAACTTTGGCGGATGATTAGTCTCCACCACCGGAATGACATGTACAAACAGAGCATGCAGTACAGAAAAACTGGAGAGACTAACATGTAAGTATATTGTAAATGGCCCCTGTAGTTCACGAGTTGTATCGATTCATGGGCACCATGTATCTCAATTCGACCATCACTATCCCATAGAAAAACGATTTTCTACGACCGAACAGGCAATGCAGTTTATCTAAGCCTTAAACTTGTAAGCTATCTATTATATAAATAATAGATAGTTTATTAATACAGTTTAAATTGTTTAGATTATATACAGTTTCACTTTGTCGATCTTTTGTGCTCAGGCCACAGTTTCTGGTCTAGGGTGAGCACGGTAGCGCTTTTCGCCTATCGATAATCGAGACGTACACACCAATGAGATCACAGAAACTGTTTGCCAGCGCCGGCCGCGTCACTGAATAGCTGTTCACACGACGCTTTCAATGCACAAGCCCAGCTTTGCGAGTTAGAGAGGGATGACATACAGATCCGGGCAAAAAGAAAAAAGAAACTGTACAACTTCAAGACATCGTTCCGCAACGAATCATTCATCCTTCGATCAAGACTCCCGAGTCGTTACCCGACCGCCACGTACAGCTGCTCTGAGCGTCAACAGCAAAGTGTGACGACCGTCGGTCTTGCTAGGTATTGAAGACGAATTCATGAAGCGTGTACATTGGTTCCCCCACGTTGCTGAAACCGAAACCGAA